CTCCCTGTACGTTCCATCTATTTTTCCCAGCTCAGTCACGTACACTTCCCTCTCCTTCACTGCTTCATGTACCACGGACATTCCGCGACTACGGTCTTCGCATTCGAAGCCGCAATCACATTTNAGTCAAGTCTATCCTAACGATATCCCTTCCCGCCTTTTCAACCCACTCCTATGCCCCAGTACAGCTACCGTCCTTTCCTCTCTATTCCATGCCTCAAACATCTCCCTGTACGTTCCATCTATTTTTCCCAGCTCAGTCACGTACACTTCCCTCTCCTTCTTGTACAACGGACATTCCGCGACTACATGAACACGGTCTTCGCATTCGAAGCCGCAATCACATTTGAACTCGTCGTCTTCNTTGACCACGCGTCCTCGAGAAGACGGAGCATGATTCCCACAGGACCGATCACCGATGGCCAATCGTTCCTTTCTACTTTGCCAAAGGTGGCTCAAAAATGTCTTCCCTACAGTAGTCAAGTCTATCCTAACGATATCCCTTCCCGCCTTTTCAACCCACTCCTATGCCCCAGTACAGCTACCGTCCTTTCCTCTCTATTCCATGCCTCAAACATCTCCCTGTACGTCCCATCTATTTTTCCCATCTCAGTCACGTACACTTCACTGCTTCATGTACCACGGACATTCCGCGACTACGGTCTTCGCATTCGAAGCCGCAATCACATTTGATTTCGTCGTCTTCGTCGACTACCGTCCTACGTCTTCGTCGACGTTCTCGAAGGCCTATGTCCCCGGTCCTGAATTTGACCTCAAGCTTTGTTCCCGCATCCATTGGTCCATGTAGGTAATCCTTGAACCCTATTCCTTCCTTCAACATTCCGTACACTTCTAGACCCTCCTTGTCCAACAAAAAACGGGGTGTGAAAAAAAAAACAGATACCACAACAGGCACCGGACGAGAAAAATGGGCACATACGGGGATAATACACTGTCAAAGGGCCTTGGGCAGTGGTATCCGTTGTGCGTTTGTGGTGTCCCCAAGAAAACAAGGAAAAAAAAAAAACTCTTAAATCAATTTGCCGCAAGAACTATTCTTCACTCAGCTTTTTCTCTCTCTGTCTCTGTCTCTCTCTGTCTCTGTTTCTGTCTCTGTCTCTGTCTCTCTCGCACACCTGTAGATCCTCGTCCTCCTTCTCCAGCTTCTTTCGTCGCTCTTCGGCCGTGAGTCCATCCACACCAACCCCCCCCTCATCCTCCGCCTCTTCCCCTCCGCCGCCCCCCTCCTTGACGCCGCTAGCCCCGTTATCTCTGCCGGCGCTCTCCAATCGTAACCGCTTGGCATCGTGAGACTCCCTCACACCGCGGTCGCCGGCTGCCCGCCCCGCCCCTCTGCCTTTCCCCTCCTTATTGACGCCGGCGCCGGCGCTGCACTGCTCTTTGCTGTCAAGAACCTTGATAGCCCCGTCTGTGCCGACAGTCCCGCGGTAGGTTCCATCCATCAGGGGGTTGTCCGTCACCCCCACGGCTGCGTATTTTCCCACCTGTTTTATTTTTTTTGTGTAAACGTATTTATTTACCAAGAGATTGCCCCGGTGATCTAGTGGAAACCTCGAAACCGCTATTAGCGGCAAAAGTCGTGAGGTCGAATCCCAATGGGGCGAGAAAATTACAAACTTGCGGGTGAAAGCGAAAAAAAGCTGGAAAGGCTCGTGAGAACCGAACTCCCACGTTAGCACCGTTGACGAGGGAAAGGAACCGCTGGAGCCTTCTCGCGATAAAAAAACGCCAACGATACACGGAAACTGGTGTATCCCTATCGCTTCTCCCTCTCGCTCTTTCCCCCTGTAACGTAATATCTCGCCCAGAAAGCCGTGCAAGCATCCGGCTTTTGGTTGTGCGCAATGGGTCACGCCTGATCCTTGTCGAGCTCGGCGCCAGCTTGTTCCACGAAAATTGTGGTTGGTTCAAATGACAGATTATAGTTTACCTCGTCGGCGAAGACGCTGTAAATTTCAACCCCGCCGATCGTTCTCGGCGGACCCGTGTTGCTGAACACCTGTTTCGACAGGGGAACGCAAATTTCAATTCAGCGCAAAAAACAGACAACGACAGGTTAAGGGGAAAGCGAGGGAGAGCGGAAAAGGCAACCATCACACCAAAACGTCACCCTCACTCTTGGAGGGCTCTTAACGCGACCCGTGACCCCTGTTGAATTGGCCCGACCTTGGAGAGCATACTGAGCGACGCTGCGGCGCCAAGACAACGAAGAACGAACACGGAAAAAAAAAACACACACACACACACACACGCACACGCACACGCTTGAAACGACGCACAAGAACAAATGGAGAAAAAAAACGAAGACGATGAACCTGCACCGAAAACGAAAGTGACGCAGGGGAAGGAAGCACAGCAGTTGCCTGGTGACGCTCAGGAAAAACATGCCGCAAGACTGCACGACGCAGAGAGTGCTTTACGAGGGAATTCGGTGATTACCTTGACACAGTAGCGTCAAACAGTGCAGTGGTGGGTATCGCGGGGGAGCGAAGGGAGGATGGTGGAAGTTTTGGCGCTCCGTGTGAAACGCCCAAAATGACGGCTGTTCTCTCCTTCGCAAATCACGGGGACTCAAAAGGATGAAACGGGATTCAAAACAAACACAACCCACGATCAATTTGCTCGAGAGGCGAACAAGCATTGGTTTGTATGCAAGCACCTCTGCTTACAACCGAAAAAGAAATCAAAACAAAAAAGAGCCGACAAAAAATACTCACACTCTCGACAGTCTCGTGGGCAAGGAACGGTCCCTGGAACGCCGACTCCGGCCGGAAGGTCTTGTTCTCCCTAGAGCAGCACACCCACAACCGGCACCGGTCGGTCCGGATGCCCAGGGCCTTCGCCACCACTCTCGACTGGGTGCGAGCGGAGCGGTGTCGGGGGGCGCGAGTCGGTCGATTGGGGCAGGGTGAGATCTCGCACTTCCGTCGGCGATCTTCGCCACAAGAAGACTATTTGCACGTGCAAGCCGACCCGATACGCTCCCTCCCTCCCGCAAGCCGCACCAACCCCACATCTGCCGTTCTTTGTTCTTTTTCGTTCTCCCGTTCCTCTCATCCTTGTTGAGTGTTTTACGTACAGTGATTGGTGGTATTTTTTACTGTGCACGCGCAGCGTAATTTGTTCCCACCCTTGTCAACCCCCAGCACGAAATCACTTCAGTGGGTCACGGCGGTGTCACAGCGGTGTCGCATGTTCTCACCAGCTCCTCCGCCGGCGCCTTCTTCCTGACCTTCACCGTCAGGGCGTTGTCCCACTTGATGAACTCCTCCGACATGAGTATTCTCAGGCCCTGCAGGTCGGGATCTCTCGCCACCTGACACACACCACACACAAGACACAAGACACAAGACACAAGACGCAAGTGGGTGGGTGATGTGACGGTCAGAGTCTCAAAACACGCCGCGGCGAGAAGATCCCGAGGGGTTGGGTTGGGGCTGCGTTCGTCCGCCCGGACAGGGGGGATATTTAGGAAGGTTATATGTAACGAGGGGGGGGGGGGGGTACTCATAGTCGTGCATGCCGTAGTCGTTAGACCATTGACCTCGCATCCCTACAAAGCCGGGACGGAGCACGCCGG